GTCACAGCCACCGCCACCACCACAGTCATGGCTGCTCCTCTCATTCTCTTGTCACTTACCCACCTCTTGTTCCTCCTCCCGTCAACTCTTTCTCAAACACCATCTGCTCCTGCTCCAGGCCCCGCCGGACCAATTAATCTCACGGCAATCCTCGTCCAAGGAGGTCAATACTCCGCCTTCCTCCGCCTCCTCAACCAAACCCAGGTCCTCACCCAACTCCCTAACCAGCTCAACAACTCCAACCAGGGCATGACCCTTCTCGCACCCACTGATAACGCCTTCCAAAACCTCCCTTCCGGTACCTTGAACGGCCTCAGTGAGGACAAGAAAGTGAAGCTTGTACTGTACCATGTCCTCCCAAAGTATTACAGCTTAGAAGATCTTGACAGCGTCAGTAACCCTGTTCCGACACAGGCTGGTGGAAGCAAGGGGAGTTTGGGTTTGAACTTTAGTGGTAGGGCTAATTCAAACCAAGTCAATGTGTCCTCCGGAGTTGTTGATACTCAGATTACTAATGCATTGAGACAGCAATTTCCGTTTGCTGTTTACTCTGTTGACAAGGTTTTGTTGCCATCGGAGTTCAGTGAAGCTCCGGCGCCTGAGAGTGAGAGTGGCCCTTCTTCTTCACCACCGGTGGCCGGGAAGCCTGCTAAAGCGCCGAGTGGTGCGGAAGATGGAGATGGAACATCTCCGGCGAAGAATGGAGGAGGAAGGACTGTGGATATGGGGGTTGGTTTGGTCGGAGGTGTTGTGCTGTTTTGCATGGCGTTTTTATAAAGCTGAGGCATTAATTTGTTATATATCCACATTCTTGTTATTTCCTTGTTCTTTTTGCATATGTTGCTCCATTTATTTGATATTTTGTTGTAATCATTGATAAATAATATGTTGTTTTGAATGATCAAAACCATTAACAACTTGTATTGATCGTTTTAGACTTTGCTCAAATGTTTGACTAAAAAACTAATCCAAATTCCGATCTTATTTTCCGATTAACTACAGTTTTAAATTTATCAAATGGCCTCTAGCTATCCCAATGGTCGATCATTCAAGTTTCAATCTGGTATATAGATGAAATTAAGTGTAGTTTAGTAGTAATTTATTTTGCCATTTCAAAAAACAAAACAAAACAAACTACAATTTAGTTTATATATCTTTACATCAAAACAAAAGATATTTACCAGTTGTTAAGATATCATAACAATTTAAAATACTTAAGCAATGGTTCATCAAATTGACTTTCATTATTTTATATTAAGCTTATTTGTATATATTTTGAGCTTATTGGTCATACCAATTAAAAACAACAATTGTTTTCTTACAAAAACACGTGGGCAACAAGTAATTTGGGCGATTACTTCACATTTTTTATTGTTTTTTGCACATGATTTCACCTTGTTTGAATACATATTCATAAGCTACTGATCATGGATATAACTACTCATTAAAATACATTAACTTGTTGTCTAATTCGTGTTATTAATCATTTTGCCGACATGAAAAAAGTTATTAAAAAACCAAAATAGCAAAAAGAAATAATCCACTTGAAGAAACCTTGTCGTCTATTGGAAAGAAGAAAATCGCATCCAATACACTTATTATATAAAAACTACAGTTTCTTAACTGCTCTACAGTTTCAAATTTTATTTAAATAGCTTTTGATCCGATTGTATGCATTTAGTGTCAACGGTTCGTAGCATATTACAAAGAGAATCACCGATGCTTAAGCCTCTAAAGAAATATATAAAATGATGACCACATATATAGGAACAGGGTATTCGTGATTAATTTGTGAAATGCAAACAAACAGCCTCCCACTATTCCAACTCTTATGTTGTGTTTTTTTTTTCTCACATTTATCGCGAACCATTTCATAATTGTGCTTCTAATTGTGCCTCTTTAGTTTTTGAGCTTCTAGTGTGTTTATTTGAGGTTTGGAGCTTAATGTCAACCATTACCAATGATGAAGTAATAGACTCTTATGAAATCTTAATTAAATTTGAATGAGTTTCGTAGGTGAAATTACCAATGTTAAGATTATGCTTCACTGAAGTTTCTAGTTGAGTTTTTGGAACTTCTACTTATTTAATCTCTAATTTAAGTGTGTGATGTGTCAATCTTCATGTTTATCATGTCATTGTCAAAGGGTTATCATTAGAGTTATTAATGATCATTATGAGTTTAAAAGTCTACTGTAACAATTTATATAACACTGGGACCATCAATAAAGTACATTACCTATATTGGAAAAAGTCCATGTTTTAGATGAAATATAGGTTTCCCACAAACCAAGGGTTTTTCATATGTAAAACACATGGGTTGTGTGGTACCCTATCTTCCTCAAATCTTTGTCTTTCGGTGTTGGAATTGCTTTCTGCCAAATTCATTGTTACTCTCGTGATAAGTAATGAATGTTTTAGGGTTAAGATGACATAGGAAAGTTTAGTAACTATAATTTACTCAATAAGGGGAACAAACGAAATATACTTATCTATAATTATACATGTATGGGTGAATATTAAGTTCCTTATATTTGTGGGAGTTGATGTAAGACCTTGTGAACAATTGTCCCCTACATAACGAGGTACTTTATCTTTGTATTCCTTATTTAAAATACTATATGTATACTTTCTTGATTATTATATGTATCATGTGTAGCATTCTTTGCATTTAAATGCTTTCATGATTTGGTTCCTAGGTGAGTATGTCCTTTTTATGATAAAAGGATATGTTGAGAATGAGTTTTTAAATAGGGATTTATTTTAAGAAATTTTGAGATGTTTTTATATGTATTTGGAATTGAAATCACGATCATGTGTATTCATTATTTTGGATGGGTTGAGACATTTATATGAGACTTGGATATCCTTTACAAAAATATTAATCACTTTTACTCTCGGTACTCATACTTGTGTGTCACTTAAGTGAGGGAATTTGAATTGGTGAGTTGTAGTTGACTTGGGGGTTGGGTGGTTTGTTGTATTTCATATATTGAGTTTATTTATATTGTTTGAATTGTTGATGTTTTGTTGAATGTTATTATTATGATTAATATTGTACTTTGATTTACAAAATGTTTTTCCCAAATTTGATTTTGATTATTTCTTGAGTTTTGATGAGGTTTGAGTTTATGCATTTGTATATAATTTTTTGTATATTTATATATTATCTGTGTAATGTCTAATCTCACGATTTACTCACTAGACTTTCTATCCCAACCTACTACGTAGACATACTTTCCAAGTTAGTAGCAGACAATGATTAACATGACGATAGAGAAGTCTAAGGACATTTTAGAAGACATATTATTATATAAGATATTGTTTAATTTGTACCACTGTCCTTTTTAAATGTTACACTCTCACATTTTAATAAAATTATTTTAAAATTTAAATTTTGGAAGTGTATTTCCGCAATTGTAGACTTTGAAAATATTCTAAAATTGTTATTTTAAATATCTCAAACAAGGGGTATTTCAAATAACTTAAACAATATTCTACTGGCCCCCCTTAAGGAGCGAAATTGATATCATTAACAAAAGGAAGTACTCTCAGTAATAAGTATCCTCACATGTAGCAACATTATCATCACACACACACACTTATAATTTTCTAGAGATACATATTCAATATGTTGCATAGATGTAACACCTATTTTTCATAACATATATTATTGTTTAAGAATGGATAGAAGATAGTGGACGAAAGTGATAGATTACTTTGAGACGATTCCATGGATATAAAGATCATCGAAAACGGAGTTAGTATGAGAAGGTTATTGTTGTTCGAAGTTGAGATGAAAGTGTGTTGCTATTTTGAGAAAGTCAACAAAAGTCAAAGTCAAACGGTCAATAGCGTCTCTTCGCGGTGATGCTTAGTACTCTCCGAAGCACGGAGATGAAGTGATTCATGAGGAAATGTGTTAGTTAGAGAGCGACACATGGCGAAACGGTGAAAAAACGTGACAAGACCGGAGAGCCCTTTATCACTGTGACACGACGCGACCATATATATAAATACTTTCCATTTGTGTCGTTTGGAGAGTTTTTCGCACACACAATCGGGAGAGAGGCTTTGGAGGTGGTTCCGGAGACTTATAAATGTATAGTTGTACCAACGTACTGGGGCACAGGGGTTGAGTTATGAGACGAGCCGAGGTATTTTTATCTCGTAATTTCGTAATTATGTTTACATAAGTATTTTGTAGTAGGTTGTTAGACCCCAAGTGTTACGGGATTTCATAATACGATGTTATTACGAACCCGGTGATTGTTAAATGTTAATTTGGTTAGTAAGGGTTATACACCCTAATTTACAAAGGTTTATCGATTTGGGTTAACGACTTATGGGGTTGATTCGTTAGTTGATTGTATTGAAAATTTGACTAGTTTGGTCACAAATGGTTATCGAGTCTAGTTAGTGATCAGGTAATTGATCACTATGGTTGATATAGTGCTGAGTTGAGACAATTTCTAATGAACTTGCTATATTTTTCACATAGGTCTGGACAAGTGATGGATTAGAGAACGGTAAAGAATTGAGGTGGCAATTATAGTTAGTCTTCACTAACTAACCGGGTGAGTAACCTCACTTCTCGCCTAGATATATATTATCTAGATATGTGTTTATTATTGTATTACGTGTTAAATACAATATTATGATTATTGTTTATTGTTATGTTTAGGTTTGGAACCTGTAAGGTTATATATGGTTTAGAATTACGTTAAATATTATAGCGGATTATTGTTATATGAAATAATTAACGGGATTATTTGTATTATAGGTAAGCCAGATTATTAGAATTAATTAATCATGATAGTCTGGGTGACTGTAATATCATGAATAAATATTATTGGTACGCTTAGTGTTGTAAATGCCATTGTATGAGAATTGATTATTATCGATATGTTTAATGTTGTAAATGCCATTGTATGAGAATTAACTATTATCGGCAGGCTTAGTGCCGAAACACCTTTGTATGGGAATTGATTATTTTTGTTATACTTAGTACTGTAAGTACCGTTATAGGAATGAATAAGTATTGTGGTGGCCTTTGTCATTGTATGTAATACCACTGTATTGAAATTGGAGGACTACAGATAAGTACAAACTAATGACAAACTTAGTGTCTGTAACACTATGCTTGTAAATTAATATTGAATAATGATTAGAGTTACTGGTTTATGATGGTAGCCTTGGGGGGCTGTAATATCATTATTGGTGGAATTGTAAGTCAATGGCAGCCTTGGTGGCAGTAATGTTATACTTGTGTGTTATTATTATTGGTTTATGATGGTAGCCTTGATGGCTGTAATAACTTCATTTGTGGAACTGCAAGTCAATGGCAGACATGATGTTTATGATTTATAAAAAAAATTTGGGTGTACTTTGTATTAAAAGTCTGAGCGTTAGAACAGATGTTTCATATACGTAATGTTTATGAACGCTTACAGAGATAAAAACACCTCCTTGACTATTGCTCCCCACAAGTGATTGATTACAATATCTTTTTCCACTATATCAGTTTTCCCTGTAGCCTCTTCTATTACACGATTTTCCACCAATAATTGATCAATTCACTCAAGTACATCGATTCATCAAAGCCTCTTCCAGTTAAGCATCACCACCAGCTACTAGATACATATGTGTTGAGTTTTATTCAAAAATACTCTAATTATAGTGTCAAAAATGATGTGATTAGCAACGTAAACAATTTTAAATTTGAATAAACTAAAACCATTTTACATACCAAAGATCATTTTGCAAAGCTTAGGAAGATTAAAACAACCATATGAAGGAAAGAGTTTACAACCTTTGAAGACTTTGGTTTCCTTTGGCAATTAGGAAGT